CAAAAATTTCAAAATTTTAAAATTTCAAAAATTCCAAAAATTCCAAAAATTCCAAAAATTCCAAAAATTCCAAAAATTCCAAAAATTCCAAAAATTCCAAAATTCCCAAAACCCAAATTAAAAAGAAAAATGTTCTCCGCCGACCCTGCTTATTACTCATATGTGTTTTTTCGTCCATTTATGTTCTTGCTTAAATACGCACGTTTAATGACACATATAATTTATCAAACTGCTAACAATAACACCTGAAACGATTTGTAATTTGCCTGTGCCGTGTGTATTGGTAATTAAGTGTACGAGGTGAGCCGCGAGAAACGAAATGGTCAAATTACTTCATTTTTTTTGTTTTCAAATTTGAAAAATAGAAAGAAATGGATTATAATATTTCGTATCTTTCAATATAATTATTTGATCTGTTTCTCGCCACCCTTCCTGTAAATCACACTCGTCTATATACACAATGTACAAATTGTATATTGCTGTTCGCAAACTTAACTCGTTACTCAGTCCACATATCATCTTTTCAGGATGTTGAGAAAATTATGCTCATGATTTATGTTTTGTATATTGTGGCAGACAGATTTTTGCAAAATGAGTCCAGTCGCAAAATTAATTAAAATTAAACTTAAGCAATTATCTATGTATTTATAAATTTTTATATTTAAATTTTTAAATTTGTAAATTTGTTCATTTTCAACATATCATATGTTCATTTTTATAAATTACTACATTTACCAATTTCATATTTGCAAATTCCAGATTACTTCCTTATTATTTCTAATTTTGACCATTTCTAACTTCTATCTTCTTAATCTTGAAAGTTTAAAAAATTAAATTTGATGTTTTCACATTTGTAAATTAAAAAATTTTCAAAATAGAAATTACCAAATTTTTGAATTTAAAAATTTGTCAATTAGAAATTCTCATTTTTCATATTTTCAAGTTCACAAATTTAAAAATTGAAAAGTTGACCACTTTTTAATCTGAAATTTTAGAAATTCAGAAATAAAAAAATTTGCAAATTGAAAAATTAAAAAATCTGAGAATAAACTTACATATTTCTGAATATATAAATTTTTAAATCTATAGCTTACATACTACATTTTAAAAGTTTTAAATTTACAATTTAAAATTACTTTAGATAACCAAATTTCAGAATCTGTAAATCTCCAAAATAAATTTGAAAATGTAACATCTTTCTTTTCTCTGAAATAGTTTTAATTAATTTCGACACTGAATTCTCCTGCAAACACACCAAAATAAACCATGACCATTTCTCAACCATCGCAAATTACTCTACCGAGTTGTGTCGCAACTCATATTACTCTTCGACTGCCACGTTCCCCATTTTCTGAAACTCCTTCACAAATAATTTTTCAACCTCAGATATGTCCACCAAAAGAACACCATACAAAATAACACGAAATTTATTAAAAATAAACTCCCCGTTCGAAGAAATGAATCCAACATGGCAGTCAAAGTACCAAGTTCACAAATATGTCGCTATAATTTTCCTATCGTACAACTGTTTAGATTTTTAGACGATAAAACTATCGGTTTGACGCTTACAAGTCTCACAGATGTCGGATTACAAGCGTGTAATTATGTGCAATTATTTCTCGCATTCAATTCGTAATTCGCTTACGCTATAGTTCGTTAGATACAAATTCGTGTTCGTGAGGAAGCGCGGAGAATCGCAACGTGCATATACAATACGTTTATTATTAAATTGGACAGATATTGCAGTCTTGTTTATAGTGGTTTTGCTATGAAACGTATATACTGTTTCGTTTCCCTCGTACGAAGCGATCTCTTCATAGAAATAGTGAACGCAAGTTTTCCCGTACAAATTCAGTAATTTTACTCGCGACGAGTAACACCGTGATCCTTATTTACTACGAACTGTACACCATTCAATTATTAACAGACAATCATTTATATACAAATACCTAATTTATTTTCACGTGCTTCTCGTTATTTATAATTAACGTGTGCTTCGCACTATATACAACTGGTGGAATTTATCTTACACATTTATATGGCAGCTTTACAGGTCATGTATAAAATTCTGTACACACACATACGTGTTTCTACTCGCGCGATTTAAATGTATACAACGTTCAAAATGAGACGGAAACTTTCGCTTAGAAATAAAGATTGCAACGGACTAGATTTTAATCAATCTTGTTTTTGTCGTATTCACTTTATTGGAGTATGATATAGTCTCGTTATATGGCCTTTGGACAACACAATAGTATATCAAGAAATTTAACGACAATAAACTCGGAAATTCTCAAACTCGTTAATCTTTTATGATAAAAATTTAGAAATTTATAATTTACAAACTTTAGAATGTCAGAGAAGAAATTTGCAAATTTATAAATTAAAAAAAAATTAAATTATAAAATTAGCAAATTTAGAAATTTATAAATTTGCACATTTTAAATGTAAGAAATTTTAAAGATACAAATTTCAAATTTTTTACAACAGTCTATGCTACAGCCCCACGCGCGGCCATATAGCGAGACTACTAATAAGATAAGTATAATACAAACAATTGATATCTTCGCAAATAATTCTTATAAAAACTTTAAATCTAATACCATGTTCTTCCTTGAAAATTGAGCAATTTTTACAGAAATGTTTTCAGTAGTTAATACGTGTGTATACATTTAAATCGGCAATCTATAATGCACTGAAAGCATTATACATAGTCTTCAACTTAGATTTCAAAACTTCAATCTCGTTATTTTTGACATAGACCTTGTATGAGACGAATTTAGACTTGACACTTTGGATGTGCATTGCAATGATTCACAGTGAAAAGTATGACAATTGTTTTCATCCCAATTTTATCTAAAGTAACCAGTGAATAAAATTGTATTCGCCTCACAAGAAGCCTTACAAGACGGCATAGAAGTAGGAAGAATATTTCTGCCCAAATGTCTCGAGTTACGTGACATTATTAGTAGACGTGATCTTTCAGACAAATGTCAGAAGTAAATCATATCTCTGCAATTGTGTTATAGAAATGTGAATTCTTTGTGCATATAACAAATTTATACAATTTCTAATTTGGAAATTTAGTCATTTTAAATTTTCAAGGTGCCGAATTTTCAACATTTCACATTTAAGAATTTGGTAATTTAGTAATACAATGATTTGTAAATTTAGAAATATAGACAATTAGATATTTAGAAAATTAGGAATTAAAAATTTTTAAATTGAGCAAGTAATTCACTGACACACCACATCTTCGCAGACATAACACATCACTAGATTATATAACAAATATTACCTACATTCCACAAAACTTTTTGCGAGGCAAGACTTATCCAACTCTCATTATTACTTACATCCAATTCCTACTTACAATGAATGGAATAAATAATTCACCCATAAAGTACAAATATCAAATCTAAACTTGTCCAGCAAAATTTGAACAGTCAAATACTGCTTTATTACATTTTGAGCACTACTTTATTATTTTGAGCAATCACTATCTCAGTCACTGACATTTTACAAATTAGTTAAATTAATTTAACCACTGAACCGACATAAATATTTTAACATTCACTGTAATGAATCATCTGTGATGAACATTCAAAATGTGAAGTCTAAATTTGCCATTGGATACATAGGTCTTCACGTTAGCCTGAATGGATTATTTGTAATCTACTGTTCTCAGTGTGTGTACATTTAAATGTTTACTTGAGGTGGCAACCACTTCTATTCGAGACTGTAAACAATAGTGAGACAGTCGTGTGTGAACCAGCAAAGAGATCGAACGTTCTCAAAGGACTTAAAGTGTTATTTTTGTAACAAAGTATGTGAAGTGACATCAACACAACTGCACGATTGACATCTGTGACAATACACGTATGTATATGTGTTCTATTAGTATTCTTAAGACACGTTGTGCATACGGTAGTAACAGATACATGTTAGGAGTAATTAAACCTTTAATAAATGCACTGCAACTTCAGTTTGGAAACGTGTCACGATAAAAAGAATCGAAGTGAATTTTATGTGGAATAAGATATGATTTAGAGTCTTTTAGAGCACAATCTCATATTTTTTTAATTTTCTCTGTTTGTGGAATTTCTTATTTTTATAATGTTTGTTCGTTACGCTGATAATGGAATACAAAATATTGCTGTTACAAATGCATCCATTCAGTACAGTCTATAAAAGTAAGAATATATCTAAAAATCTGATAATCATTGATTTCAAATTATTTTATATATTCTAGATTGTTTTCTTTCTCTTGAATTTCTGTCGCAAAATATATATTAGCGAATCGAAAGAATTTTACTATAATACATAACAAAATTATTCATAAATAATTAGAAATAAAATTTTCATTCAAGATATCTCTGTACAGCTTGATAATAATAATCTTTGCAAAAAGTACGGAATTATTCAAATAATTTATATGTATACGTGCAATAAGCTGTATATAATTTGATGAGATCAATCACGATTTTTCAATGTACATAAATAGTAAAAAATATTCTTCTGAAATTATTATATATTTTCTTTCATAAACATTCGACTAATGTCAGATAAATGCAGTTTTAAAAGGGAAAAAAACAAAATTAAAAAAAAGGGCAATTAAAAATGTACTATACATGATTTCTGTTACTGTGAAAATAATAAGTTATTATATAGAAGACAATTGTACCCTCCCATATTTTAACTAACTCTACTTTTCTGTATACATAAAATCCTATACACCTACAGATTCCTTATATGTCATTCATCCCATAAGCAGTTTTGTTTCATTTTAGAATAGTATGAGAATATAAAACATTTTTTACAAGTTTTAATGCCACATTTGTAAGGTGTGACTGCTTTTTTCCCATCGCCTTTTCCCTTACAAAACTTTAATCCACATGGATACCAACCGATACATAATTCTAATGAGCAAGTACAAGGTGCCCACATATTTGATGTGTCGGCACACCTTGTTACAAACAATGATTTTGAATCATTCGTACCTTGTTGCGTTAAAGAATTTGTGCTGAAGTTGTATACAGCTGCCATCAGTGAAAGTTCAGAAGAACCTAATAAATTAAAAGCAAACACTTGTGTTAATAAGTGGTTTTCGATATATTTAAATACATATATTATAAAAAAAAATAAAATGTATACATCTATTTATTATCATACAACTTACCAGGCCTTTGAATCCACTGTTTTATGTCATCATTTCTGGTGTAAGCAGAGCCTGCTGCTTCCCCGCAAAGAGTTGCAATATGTTTTGATATATCTTTTGATTCTGATACATCTAAGAATAAATCCATAGTATAATTCACGTGACCTTTATCTTCTTCTGCCACGCGCACTGTGCCTGGATTTTTTTGTCGTAACTTAGACATTGCATCAGAGGATATAAAGTCTACTTTGAAAAAGTGATTAACAAAGCACAAGACTTGATATTGATTCTGACCACGTTCTTCTTCCCCAAGTACTAGAGCTTTTATAATCTGTACTTCCTGTAAAATACAAATCAAATATCGTATTACTATTTGTGAAACATGAAAAGACCAATTACTGCTATACAGTTTATTACATTTTTGAAGTCAATAAGTTGTGTCACCAAAGTGCCATCTGAACACTGAAATTCTAAGGTGATAACATCTTCAGTAACATTGGATGAAATTGTTTCCAACAAAATATCACCACCCTGTAAAACAAACATAGAAAAGAATATTACACAAGTACTGATTCTAAAATTCTTTTTTGGTAGAACTTATTTTTCTTTTAGGTTAGCGTGATCAATTATTAAATGTCAAGCAATATCAAAATCATTTTCACACAAGTCCATTTTCAAGATTACATTCTTTTTAAGTTTTGTCAACAATAAATGAATAATAGAAATTTATACCTGATTTTTAACGTTTATGAGCAAATGAGTCGTACAAACACCGTACAAATAGTACAACAGGAAGCAAGTTGCAAATAATTCGTTGAATTTCTTCATTGTCGCATGTTGTAACTACGTCTGTCACTATATAGAGCACCGTTGCAATTAACTATGATGATTCGACATTCAGTTAATAGATAAATACTTTAAATATAACCTAATCGTAAGAACCTCCTACTTCACACATTCCATCGCGGTCGAAGCATACGCTCCTTGTACACCATCGAATGTACAAACTACTTAGAACAGTGTACATATGAAAATTAAATCTCAATTTTTTAAAAACAATTTACTTTATTACGTTCTGGTTAAAAATATATGCATACATATTACCAGACACACAGAAAGAAGTACAAAATTAATTTAAAGCTTGCTTCAATGAATGAGAAACAATTTAATTAAACAATGTTTTACAGTTTATATTGCTGTTAAATTAAATTACAGAATAAAGTAATATTATAGTGAAGATACAATACAAATGAAAGTAAAAGCTACTAAGTATACGCATAATCCATATATCTGCATTTAATTTTTCATTTTGTTTATGTTTTAGCAAATTCATATTTTATTTTTTTTATTTAATAAAAAAATGCATTTAACTTTCAAGTTATTTAATGTTTCACCAATCTAAGATCTATTAATAGAATTTATGATGTCACTGATTATTGAGTGAAAAATTATAAGGTATAGCTATATTAAAATACTTTTCACCAATTAATTTAATTAAATTTGTATATATTTATAAGAAGGAATATTATGTATCGTAAAATTATTAATGAAATTTAGAATAAATTAATGAATTTCAAAATTTGAAAATCTCGAATCTTTGCATGTTTTTAAAAGCTAAATGTTTTATTCCATACCTTATTCTTCAGATAGATGGTTCTATATTGAAACATAACCGTAGTAGATCGCAGTGATTCAATATGTAAAACAGCTATAAAAGACAATAATTTATTTCACGGTAATTAATTTAGAAAATTAAAACCATTTCTGAAGTTTTATCCTAACAAGTGTATTGAAATTAAATTTCTTGCGCGCGTTATGTGTCAACATTACCTCTCGCGCCATTTAGCGGTCAAATGAGAAATTATTAAAATAAAGAATTGCGTTTTTTCGTAAAATACGGCATTCTTACTGTTCATTGACGTTCGCAAATTATTCTACGGACACAGTATACTTAGCAAAATCTCTTTGCAATGGACTAGAAACTGTATATTCCAAAATTTTGAAATTGCTTTTGCAAACCTCATAATGCTTAACCATCTAGCGGTAGAAGAGGTGAGAACTAATGGAACTAAATTTTGGAGGTTATTATATACTCTATTTATTGTTTCCGACTTATAGACACATATGAAACACTTTACAGTGGTTTAATATTGCTATCTGAAGCATTTTCCTGTCAAATAAATCGAAAAGGTCAATATTCTAGAAAGTAATGTATTGCAAATTTAGTTCTGTTAGTTTTGATCTTCTACCGCTAGATGGTTAAGCATTTTAAAATTCACAAAATGCAATTTGAAAATTTCGGATGCACTGTGAAGTCATTTTTCAATTTTTTTTTTGAATCAGTGGGTTGTTGTGGATGTTAGCAGTAACTTGTTCCTCCTGGACGCCATTTTTCCTAGGAAAGTTAGATTTGAACTGGAGCATACATATTTCAAATAACATCTAGTGCATTCGCAGTCAGATGGCACTGGAGACATAATTTTGAAAACATTGATTGATGTAACATTAAAAAAGCAATAGTTTAAGAATTTTTACACGACACAATTGATAATTTTGTACCGTGCGATGAATCTGAGAACATCTTTTTATTGATTACGGTTTATATTATTAAGTCTGAAGTAGTGTGAAATATAAAAATAAGCTTTGCACAATATTTTTAACTTATGGAAATAATATTAGTATACTCCACAATAAAATATAGTATACACAAATAAAATTATACATAAATACAACTAGTTGGCAATAACCTATTTTAGAAATGAACAAATAAGAATTTTTGCATATTTGAAACGTTTTTCGTAATTTTGACAGTACGAAAATGTGTAGTTGTTAATTAACGATTTTTCAGGAAATACAAACTAATGCTGTAAACCAATTTCTCTTTTTTTCAGTTTAAAACTTAAGTATTTTCTACTAAATCTTTTATACTGTCTGACACAGTAGAAATTCACGTATGCAGTCAGACACATTGCAGTACAAGCTATTAAAAATATATGTATAGGCCCATTTTTAAAATTTTTTAATTTCCTGTTCTATCGTTGGTTCAACGTTAAAATCACTCAATAAAAAAACAATTTATATTTTATCGTATATTATTATAACATTCAAATATTTAATTCTTATAACAATTCGTAGAAAAAACTTTATTTGTTAAAATATTAATTACATGTTTAATATTATTTACACTAGGCATTAAACGAAAAATGTAAATTACAAAATAATTTTTAATAATTATAATGACAGTGTTGCAGCACTGTTGATAGTCATTTTCACTGCAGCATTCAACGTAACTTAATACAATATGTAAATGTAAATAAAAGTAATTAAATTTTATGCTGCATTTTTAAACTTCTTTCGCTGTCCCGCGATTTTAGCGTTAGAGAACTTCTTCCTTTACTTGTTCGTCCTGTAGAAGGAGATGCTTTAGATGATCTGCAGGATTCAGGAACCGCATAATCGTCTCTGTAACTTCATAAAATACTGTTTTTAATATGTACTTTACTTTTTTAAAGATTTATATGTATATTTACTTATACAAATTTATTAAGGACACTATGAACAAATTCTCGTTTAAAATGCTAGTGATATTATTTTATAAAACACATAATTCTTAAAGATGAATAATTACAGCTACTTTCTTGAGAGATGTCGGACATTTTATATAAAATAGACTTTATACTTATATTAAATAATTTTGTACAAAATAGGTTTTAGGTATTTAATCGAAATTGTATTATATCCCAAAAATAGTAGTTTATGACACTTTCAATTTTGCATAAACACTTACGAAAATTTCAATCGCAAATCGTTTAAAATGGGTGGCGTCTTAGGTCTTTCAATGGATTCCAAATCGTACATTTTTAAATGCGTGTATATTGGAATCTGGAAACACAATTTTCATATAAGTCTTCCCATAAAATTAAATAAACATCTACTTATTTCACATAAAATTAAATTATTGCTTCTAAAATGAAGATAATAAATTAGTTAAAAGAAATTATTATTCACAATAATTCTGTTTTTCATCATTTAAAATAAAATGCAAGCCTTGAATACACAAGATTTAAAAAAAACAAGATAATAAAAATAAAAGAATTATTTAAACAATTTATTTTTACTGTCATGTTTATTGAAATTCTTTAAGTCCATAAATAACACCCAACAAGTTTAACAATTTCGTAATTTTTTTGTGAGTAAAACAAAATTGCATGAGAGATTTTGTTCATATGAAACTGAATAAAAGAAAAGAGGACACATGAACCGTTTATTTTGAAAGTGGGGCAAGTCCATTTCTGAAAAAATGAAGATAACGATAACAATAGACAAAACTTAAAATAATATTTTTATCTGTAAGCAATCTATAGTTAAAATAATAAAAATTCTTCAATATTTGGGTAACGGAAATTCAAATGATTGACGGTATTGGAAAAATGTTTATTTTGAAAGTGGTGCAAGTCTATCTTGGGTTCAAATTATTTCTAGTCAAATATATTATTTGGTGGGTATTTAGTTCTGACAAATTTTAGTAATATTGACAGCTCTGTGAAAAATGACAAATTGTATAATATTGGTATAATATGGGTATATGATAAATTGTATAAAAAAAACAAATCGTATATGTAATGTGTAAGGATATGTGGGGATAGGTCTGTTTAGGTATCATTGCAAATTTTTACTATCAGCTTGTAAATAAATTCTACTTCAATTTCTAATAAATACGCAACAAAGTCGATGGTTAGGTTCCTGTTTTAGTATCGGTGTACAAAGCCTCTTAGTAAGTCCACTGTTATTTAAAAATTATTTTATTAGAGAAAAAACATAGCTGAGAATGATTTCAACGAATATATGTTGCACCTGAAAGTGATGTTAATAGTTAATAATAACAAAGTAAAAATACTTTCCTGAGTAATAATGCCACACCAAAAAAATCTTCATTTCCAAGGAACTTTATTACATACATATATTGCTTATAGAAATAAGATCTATAAGAATTGGTAATAAAAATAGAATCTTGCAGTCAGAATCTGACAATGAGTATGAAAATAATTTGGACCAAAATGATTCAAAGATATTAGGAAAAATAATAAATGTAAAACTGAGATATTCACTTAATTAACGATTACTATAATTTTGAAAGTATAGTAAATTTAGTGGCAAATTTTAGGGTTTAATAGAACCTTCTGTTTAACCAACACTTTATTCCATCATAAACATACATTATCAACAACATTTTTAAACTTCTTAAAATGCAAATCTTTAAATATCTCGTAATAACAAAAAGTAGACTTGCCCCACTTTTAAAATAAAAACGTCGTATGTACTTTGAAACAATAAATAAGTATAACAAAGAGCGTACGAAATATTCAATTTATCAGTGTCAACCAGTACGTGATTTTAGATTATAAAATGTTACTTTCAAAAATGGAGGAACCTATACTTATCAATGGCAGAAGAAAAATGGAAAGTAACTTTCCATAAAGTCGTTAAAGATAAAAAGAATACTGTAACGATAAGCACCTTGTTGAACCAATTAATCATGTAGTCATCTGAATTTCAAGGAAAGGGCAATCTTAATATTCAGTTCGTAAAATACGCTTATAATAGCGAAATACCAGTTAAACTTGAAGGTATAGGGGCACAAAAAAATATTTGTTATCAATAAATTCAAACTGGTGCGTACGTTTGTAAAAGTTAAAACTGGAATGTGTATGAAAAATGTTGTATTGTGGTATTTTTAATTTGGGAAATTAGAGGCAAGTTAGAGAACAAATTTTTTAATTTGCAAATAGGGAAGTTTTGAATTTTAAGTTATAAATGCGTGGAATTGTATATTTTGAAATTGACAAATGTAGAAATTAGGAAATTTAAAATTTGCAAATATAGGAATTAAGAAATTAAAAATTTGCAAATATAGGAATTAAGAAATTTAAAATTTGTGAATATACAAAATAGGAAATTTAAAATTTGCAAACATAAGAATTAGAAAATTAAAAAGTTACAAATATAGGAATTAAGAAATTAAAAATTTGCAAATATTCAAATTAGGAAATTTTAAATTTATAAATGCAGGAATTAGAAAATTTTAAGTTTGCAAATATAGACATTAGAAAATTTGAAATTTACAAATATAGAAGTTGGAAGTTTGAACTTTACAAATGTACAAATTAGGAAATTTTAAATTTATAAATGTAGGAATTACGAAATTTGAAATTTGCAAATATAGGAATTACGAAATTTTGAATTGACAAATATACAAATTGAGAAATTGTAAATTTGCAAATATACAAATTAGGAAATTTTTATTTTATAAATATGAAAATTAGTAAATTTGGAATTTGCAAATATAGAAATTAGAAATATTTGAAATTTACAAATATAGAAATTAGGAAATTTGAAATTTACAAATATAGAAATTAGAAAATTTGAAATCTATAAATATAGAAATTAGGAAATTTGAAAATTAGTAGGTTTGAAAACATCGTATTCCAAATTGTCATAGTAATAAATTCAAATTTGAGATTTAAACTCTCAAATTTCTCAATTTTTTGTATTCGAAGATATTTTTAATTCTCAAGTTTCCAAATTTTCAAATCTAAAAATTCAGAAATTTAGAAACTTAATTTAATAATTTATAAGTTTCAAAATTTCAAAATTTGGTATCGAATATAAAAATTCAGAAACTTAGTAATTTAGAAATTCAAAAATCTAGATACTACAAATTTTCAAATTACACAACTTAGAAAACTAAGAACTTAAATATTGTCGATTGATTAATCAACATGAAAGACACAAATACAATAAAAATGCATAAATGAACAGTACATAAGGAGGATAAAACTCTCATAAATAAAATAAGCCCTCATAAATAAAAGACCCATCCCCAAAATATTAATCATTACTTATCATAAAATAATTATTACATTATCTACAGTTTTGTAACTTAGTTTCAATTTACCCATCCTATAACTTCGAAAAAATAATTATTACATTAACTGTAATTTTATAACTTCGTTTCAATTCACCATCCTATAACTTCGAAAAAAATTTGAATAATCCCGCGTTACATAAACCATAAACCACAAAACTGTAGAGATACTCACGTAAGGCAGAGACGTATCAAGAATCGTTGGCTCAGCGTACCTTTTCGGTACATCCGGAGCTCGATAAAATCTCCCCAATATAGCGGATCCAACACCCATTTCTCGAATCAACGCAGATGAGATTTCGTTTTCAGTACCGTTTAAACCCAATTCGTTTTGATTGTACAGCCGCGAATCGTTTTCAATTGCTTCCGTATTACTTTCCATGCTGATAAGCAACCCTTAACAAGCAGGGGTTAGTAAGGTTTTAAGGCGCAACCAGGCCGAACTACTTTCGATGAAATAAAACTGGAGACCCACTCGAAGTCGAGCACTAGCCTGTAGATAATGATTCGAGGATGCTCTTGAACGTTACGCCCGACGAAGGGTTCACAAACTAGAGTTTCATCAGTCGATATTTGGTCGATAAGTTCTTCCGCTCTGGTGAACCGCAGACACCATGAAACTTCACTCCCTTAAATTATGAAATTTCTTTCTCCTTTTTTTTCATTACTTTTTGCTACTTGATTCGATTTTACTGATGATGATACTTCGTTGTTGATATTTTTAAGCGTTATACTGTTTAACTGTTTAACTGTGATATTTTCATTTTTAAATATTTGTTACTAATTTATTTTTAAGAGTAAACTGTGGTATTTTATAGAATTTTGTAGTAACGTTTGTAACGTTTAAAATATGATTTTTTGACTGGGACATTTTTACAAGAAGATAAAATGTACAAAGTAAATGTATAGGTTTTATAATAATTATAATAATTATTTCATATAAGTTAATAACTGTGATAGTAATAAACTATATTGTCTTTTAAAATTAGCGACGAATATTAATATTATACACTAAATGTATTCAAATTTAAATATAAATTTAGATATAATTTTAAATATATCTAACTAATTATCTGCTAATTTTAAGTATAAATTAGTCTTATGTTAATATTAAATTAGCAAATTAATCTTATATTAAACAACGATTTTAAACATTGAATATAAAAACGAAAAAGTATGTTGCTTACGTATTAGTCAAATGAAATCAATTTTGTTATGGAACGTTCGCTAATATCTCAAACAACAAAAACACGCAAACATAGATATACACATTTTTTCGTTGAATAGCATGCAGGTTTGCTACCTCAGGCAAAATGAATAAAAAGCAAAGGTACATGAAATTTCTATTGCATTTTCACAGCTTTGAAGTGCAGTGGATGAAAAATAAAACGTCAGGAAGATGATATTGCGCTTTCGCGACTTTCAGAACTCAAAAGATGAAAGATAAAATAAAAATAATACTGTGTCTTCATGACTCTAAAGCATGAAAGAAGAACAGTATACAAGAAACGCTTTTGATGTTTGTGATGTTAAAATGAATAGCAGAAAAAATAACATTCAAGTCGCAATAACAACGCCTTAAAACGTCAAAAGTGTCAGACTTTAAATTATAACTGAAAAGATATGTTTTTAGGTAAAAGGTAAATAAATTATTTGACTAATTATATTTGAACTGTAATTAACTCAATTTATAATTGATATTACTAATTTAATCATTATGTCAACATTATTGTTGTTAAAATATATTTCTTTTATTAGTTTTTATTAAATTTAAATTTTTTGTTAAAATTCATATAGATTGATATAATAAATTATTACATTATTTTTTGAAGTTATCAATTTCAGAAATATCTTTTATTAAATTTTTAAATTAAATTATGTGTTTCTTATAAATTATTTACATGTACAAAATTTAATTACTTTTGACAATAATTTAATTTAATATAATTTAGTTTAATTTATTATATAATTAAGTTAAATTTATTTGAAGAAACTATATGTTAATAAAATTCATGAATATGTAATCTTTAAATTTATATTAACAATTATATTTTCATAGATATCATATTATACTATATTTTTTCACTATAAAAAATTATATAAAAGTCCCTTTATTTTTAATATATTTAAAATTATTAAATGCAATTCAATCAACCGTGGTACAAATGGAACTAAATCATATTTATAATAATTTTCAACATTTTCATTTATATTAATATCTATATAAACAAATAAATTTATTCAAAATAATGATTTATTTGCATATTCACGTTTTCGATTGAATATTACTTTAAGATCGTCTTAGATTTAGCCACCCTTACTTGATTGTTTTCCGAGCATAAGGGTGTTTTCTGTAATAATATACGTGTGAGCGAGACTGCGAATGAATCGAGTATATAAACTGATTTCCTCTTCCTACAAAATTATTGAATGCGACACTTTATATAGGGAAAAAGATTCTCTTCCATACGATACTTTTCAATAGATTGAATTATAGTACACTTTTTGTAAACATTATGCATACAGTACGTGTGTTTGAAACATTTGAATGTCCCTATTAACATGAATCGAAATTAATAATCTAATAATATAATTCAGTGATTGACACATTTGATATTTGAAACTTCGAATGCTTGAAAATTAAGAATTACAAAAAAGTACAAATTAAATTATGTTAACTATAATTATCTAAATTTTTGTTGTCATAGAAAGAGCGAATAAAAATAAATTATAAATTAATTTCATATCATTTTTACGTGAGTATTTTTCGTTTAACATTAATTTTTTCATTTTTAATTGCTATGACACATAGCAAATTTGCTCTAGACTGGATGAGAATTGAAGATGGATTATCACAAAATACATAGCTATGCGTTTCAATGTATGCTAAAACGGAGAGATACTATAACAAACGGGGTTCTAAAATCAATTTCATTCTTGTACATATGTACTTATATCCCACAGCAAACTATTATTACATTACAAAGATTTGAACATGGAGACACGTTCCGTGTCACGTGTATCGTTTTTGGTACATGTTGTACTTTCTCTTGAGCTTGACTGTAACATCTATTCTTTTTAATTGTAGAATTGATAATCGAGTACGCGATATCGCGTGGAAATGTATGGAACAGTGAGGATTAAAACTGAATTACGAAAATTAGAATTTTGGAATTTTGTGTAAAACTGAAAGTTCAACTGGAATTTTTTAATTTTTAAACTTTGAGAATTTGAGAATTTGAGAATTTGAGAGTTTGAGAATTTGAGAATTTGAGAATTTGAGAATTTGAGAATTTGAGAATTTGAGAATTTGAGAATTTGAGAATTTGAGAATTTGAGAATTTGAGAATTTGAGAATTTGAGAATTTGAGAATTTGAGAATTTGAGAATTTGAGAATTTGAGAATTTGAGAATTTGAGAATTTGAGAATTTGAGAATTTGAGAATTTGAGAATTTGAGAATTTGAGAATTTGAGAATTTGAGAATTTGAGAATTTGAGAATTTGAGTG